TTATTATTATTATTATTATTATTATTATTATTATTATTATTATTATTATTATTATTATCATCATCATCATTATTATTATTATTACTATTATTAATATTCCTAATGATCGACATGCCATTGCCATTAACTCCATCAACAACTTTCAATTTCTAATCATAGTCTTAATGGATTTCCTTGCAGTAACTACATTTAGTATTATTGAATTTGTATGTCATCATTACGACATTACTAATTCCTTGTCAACTTTATGATGACAATTTTTTCGACCAATCTAGTTAATTATTTTCAAAATAAGGAAAAAACATGAAGGAAACAAGTTTATTTTATTTCGTTTTTTAAAAATATTTGAAAAAAAAGTTTCAAATCCAGAAAAGCGAAATATTCATCGGTGACATTCGAAAAACCCAATGCATATGCTATGATCAGTGATGAACGATTAGCGAATATTCGAAATAATTATCGAATTTCATTCAAATTCCGAACAATCTCATCATCATCAGTTTTATTTGCTTTCATCGCTAATTCCACTTACGGTTATGATTCGGCGTCCTTAGAATTATATCACGGTCGAATAAGGTAAGCCTATCCATGACGTAAAGACCGACTAGTTTTACATGAGATACTAGCTGTTCGAGAATTTCATTACTTCCATTGCATATTATTGAAAAGCGAATGAAAGGTCAAAGGTTAGAAAAAAATTTGTCTCTGAAATGTTAACACTGCCTAAAGATGCTAACATATTAGCTAGAAAATGCATTTCTATTTAGTTATTTAGTTACATTTCTATTTAGTTACTATCATTTTCAACCATTAACTAATCAGTTTAATTTTTATGCCGAACAAAGAATGATGATTCTTTTTTAAATTTGAAATAAAAAATGATGCATATTTCAGATACAGTTATAGCTTTAACTCTCAAATAGAAACAATCTTGTCACCAACTTTGCCAGATGGACAAGTCTTAAATGACTTTAAATGGCATACTGTTCTCATACATCAGGTTATTCTTTAATTATTAATTTAAAATACCTATATAAATTCTTTTTTACTTCGTCTCTCAAACTTCTAGAATAATACTTATTACTGTTGCTATCATTTCATCTTACTGAAGAATGGTTACTTAAATATTTGTAAATATTAGCATAATCGATTAAGCTATCATTCAATTCATTAGAACCAGAAGTTATTTAGTCCAACGATATCTCAGATCATTTTCTCGAGGAAAGGAAAAAGTACCAGTGATGGGAAAGTCTTCTTCCTGGTGATTAAGACTGCCGTAAGCATGCTAATGCAGCACTTTTTACTAAAGATTATTGAAGCTTTCAAATTAAAAATTCCTGCGTACATCTTGATAGCGATCAACTGTTTCCGGTTTTTACCTGATTCGGATTTTTTAGAATGTATTTCATCCTCTATCAAATTGAATTATGCTCGTTTCATTGTATAGCTATTTTATTTCCGTACTATAATAAGTATCAATAACCGTAAGCCGTATGGTTCCAGTTTAACTTACAGTAATCCATTGTTTGTATGCGAAAGCAAATCCGGAAAAATTAGTTTCCCCTATAACGACTATGTTTTTCTGGTCAAACTAACTTGGCATAAGTATTTATGCCTTTTTTAGTAAAAGAATAATTTTATTTTAAATTCAGTTCAAATTTCCTGTTTCCTATTTTTTTCCTTCCATTGTATCAATCATTTACAATCATTATTGCTAATTAATTAATTAATCATTCAAAGGTAATACATTGTAATTACCATGTAAAAGTGGACAAATTCAAATTTTCAGAAATCATTGGGTGGTGTGCATTACATTATGATAGATAATAGGAGCACTATAATGGATAGTGTTCAGGGACACGTAGTCAATTTAGATACACAATTTTATATCGGAAATATCCCATCCGATATTTCCGGTTCTCTAAGGTACCATCCATTTTATAATCTTTTTATTCGTGTTTTTCCGAAGTTTCCAAATAGTTATTCTTAATTTCAATTACATTTATGATATTTTTATATTTCGTAATTGTTTTGATAATACTAATTGTAGAAATTGAAATTTAGACTTAAGAACGTTCCTAGCTTCCGCGGATGCATCTCTTCATTCCGGATTGGAAATGAATATCTAGACATTTTGAAAGATGCAATAGAAAATTCCGGTATTGTGAAAGGATGTCACGGTAAGGTTCAGTTCCTTTTTTTTTTTAAAAAAAAAGGAGGAAAAGTCGGAGACATTATCAAATCAAAATTCCTAGTACATTCTAACTGATCCGTAATTTTATCTACTAAACTTTCAAACTATATCTGTTTACTCTGTTAAACTGGAAATAATATTCCGGAATTTGAAACTTTAACTTGACTATGCCTACATATTGCATCATTTCTAGACCAAATTTTTCTGAGTAAAATCATGGCAGGTCCACATACTCGATGTTCACCTAAGACATGCTCAAATCGTGGTAAATGCATTCAAAAATGGAATTCCATCAAATGTGACTGCTCAATGACAACTTATGGCGGTGAAAAATGTGATAGCCGTTGGTTTTTCAAATCTTTTTTTTTGGATTTTATATTGAAATTCTAAGTTTATCAACCTGTGAGTTCAAAGATCACGCTTTTTTTTTCAATTTGATGATTTAAAGAGTAATAATTAATGAAAGAAGTTCATTTATAGTTGGTACAACCTATGTATTTGACTCATTATTATCAGCAATTTATTACGAATATCCACAATCGATGAGACCGTCAACAAATCGGGATCAGGTGGCAATTGGATTTCGTACCCGACAAGCTAATGCTGTACTATTAAGTATACATTGTGATGTGGATGGTGACTTTTTCACCGTTTTCTTGGTGCGCACATTTTCACATATTTTGTGGAATGAAATTCTCAATCCAATTATTTTTCTGAATCCATTCTTCAAAAAAATTATTTGCGCAAATTTTTCGGCGTAAAAATCAAATTTCACACTTTTTTTAGGTTAAAATTTTGGTAGTAAATTTCGGCTTAATTTTTTTCTGTGTTATTTAAATGGAATATTGTTTATGTTACTTACGTGAAATACTTTTTATCGGTGTGACTTTTCAAGTACGCGGAAAATCTCTCTGTTTTTATAATCATTTTGAATGATCAAAAAAAAAAACAATTATGTTACAGAAAGATGCTTATTTGCATGTTCGTTACAATCTCGGATCTCGGGATCATGATGTTGGTTTTCGGGGTGCCTTACTAAATGATGATAAGCATCATGCAGTTATCATATATCGACAGGAAGCCAACCTAACCCTGTACATTGATAATCGCGAACCAATTTATTATTCCCCTCTCGGTACCATTTCCAAGTATTTCAGTAGAAGTATTCTGCGAGAATAATTATTTCATTAACAGCTTTTTTAGAATTGCTATGTAAAAAAAAAAAGGCAATTGTAAAAATACCATAAATTCAGCGCGGGTTTAAAAGTTTAAAATAAACTCTGGAATAGAGAGGTGATAAGAGTTTCATTATCTCTTATCACTGAATAATTATAATTAATAGAAATTAACAGAAATTTTAAGCTAATAGAAATTAATAGAGATTTTAAGCTAATAGAAATTAATAGAGATTTTAAGTTAATGGAAATTAATAGAGATTTTAAGCTAATGGAAATTAATAGAGATTTTAAGCTAATAAGTAATTAATTGGGATTTTAAACTATTTATGCCAGAAGTTCGTTATATTAGAGTAATATAAACCGTTTTTGTTTGGAAATATCAGGTGGTGATACAGAGCTTGTTACATTAAACATGCAATCGAGAGTGACCATTGGTGGATCATTCAATTTATTACATCGTACAAAACGGCGGAAACGTGAACAACTTTATGACAGTTACAAAGGTTTCATCTCAGGTGTCAACTTTAATGGTTTAATGATACTGGACATGCTTGCTCAAGGTTCTTTTCAAAATACAATATTTCTATTTTATACCATTTATTCCCATGCTACATTTAATGAATCCTTTTAGAAAAAGAGAAATAAGCCTAATGTCTGCTTCTTCTTAGTGTAATATTATCAAGTTGACAAATTTGAAATATTGATGTCACATCCTGGATAAAAATTCTTGCTGAATCTTTTAAAAACAATAAAAATGTTAGAATTTTTTATTTGAATTCTTATTCAAACATTTGCAATGCAACAATTGTTTGATTAGTTAAATTTTAGGTTTATCATATAGAAAATAACTAACTGATCTGTAATTACTTATAAAAATTGTCACCCCAACTATTTTAACTTATAAATAGAAAGAAAAAAAATGGCCATTATTTGGAGAATTTTTAGAATCAATTGATGAAAAATTGAATCCAATTCTTGAATTTTAAATTTTTTACAAACTATAGAGCTATCAGATATAATTAGGGAGAAAAAATTCGAATTTTTTCATATTTTTGTGAAAATTTTTCAATTTTTCTTTTTTAGAAGGATTATAAAATAGTATAAGAATATATGAGATTATTTAATTTGTCCATTTTAAATTAAAATATTAAAGCATTATTAGATTGTGTTGAATGGAATACGTAAGGAAGGACAAGTTAACTTAAGCAGTTATTTTCATATTTTATTCTAAAGTAGTTGTTCAATGGTCAAATGGATAAGCTAAAGCTAAGCGGAAAATATGAAGTAAAGGATGCATGGGGTGATGTTAAGAGGAAACGAAGGAGAGAATGACACTCCGTCCCTTTTCCTCTTAGATGGCAATCATCATTTCCTAAGCATTTTCAATAAAATGGAAATTACTGGTCACCAACTCTGTCACTCTCTGTCGTTGCCTTTTCAATAATGGTAGTAATAATCTATATTGATGGCTTTAATTTTGCGTACTCAATCATATTCTTATTGGTTTTCTTCGCTTAATGCCGCCTCACCAACTGACCATTGCCATATTTCATGCAGTTATCACATGGAATTTTGGATAGATTGCTGTTATTTAGGATAAATTTCATTAAGTATTAATTAATTTAATTAGTAAAGTGCATCTTTTCTTCCTTCAACAAAATTCAATTTTTTAATCGATTATATTTCCGCTTGCAACCAAAATCATTTTAGATGTTGCAAAAGCGCCTGACTTGTAAGTTATGCTGCATTATCGTTGCCAAATTCAATCTAATTCAAGTGTGTTTACAACAAACTTATGCAATCTTAGCATTTAATTTTATTAGAGCCTAGAAAATTCATTAGGCCATTACTTTACTTTTGCTTTTTCCTTTTTCCTTTTTTTTTTCTTAATATCTATGAAAATTTTCATTTACAGCTAATTAAGATCATTTATACATTACATAGTCTATGCGTTAGGATTCTCTCAAGAAAAATATGAATAACAAATGAATGAATCAGAAGATGAGTGAAAAAGAAAAAAAGAATGTAGCTATTGAAGTAATTTTCATTAAAACCAAAAAACGGAATGAGAAGATTGAATAGCCGGATTGGGATGAATGGACAAACGGATAGACGGAAAAGGAAATGCATATGATATAACTCATTATATAATCATGAACTTTATCTGCTAAGCTTAGGATTTAACTGCCATTTACTTACTTCTTTACTATTTATCTCTCATCAATTATTACAACGGAAAAAAAAAAGCAAAGATTCAGTTAAACACTGATATAATTTTCAAGTTCAATTCTTTTTTTTCGCTTCTTTTTTCTTGCTGATCAATTTTATGTTGATAATCATTGAACAATACCGGATACGGTACCATCAATGAAAATGATTTACGCATGCGGAATGATTTGATTTACATATACAGAAAGGTTAGATAATTTACGTATATGAAAGGATTTGATGATTTACATATGTGGAAGGGTTTGATGATTTACGTATGCGGAATGATTTACATATACGGAAGGATCTGATGATTTACGTGTACGGAAGGATTTGATGATTTACGTATGTGGAGGAATAATCAATTGCGGATAAGTGGTTATTTGTTTGCTACATGAAAAGATATAGCGCAGATGGGGAAGAAAAAGAGAAGAAAATTGAAATTTCATTTTCAATAACTGTTTGTCAGAAAGAATTTGAATTAAACAACCAAATTAATAGTTTTTGTGACATTTTTACGACAAATGAAACAGTTAATTGAAGTTTGAATTTATTTTTTTTATTTGTTTATTTTTCCATTTATTACGGTTTCGATTATAAATTTGGCAAAAAATAGACGAAAACGAAAAAAAACTAAATGAAAAAAAGTTTTTTTTTCGTTTCTTTCATTTTTTCTAATAATTTACAATTGAAATATAAATGATTCAATTGAAACTTTAATGACAAATATGTTTGATTGTAAATGCCAAAAGTATGAAATAACTTTAAAAGGTACTAAAAAGACAAAAGAACCATTCGAGAATCTCTCATATTGCTATTATTCCATTACTTTCCCTAAAGCTCTCTACAAATCATACTTTATTCATTTTCCTCTTTTTTTTTCTTTTTAATATCAATTCAAAAAAATATCTTTTCTTTCTTTACAGCTTTTGTTTAAATGAAATTAATAGCCAATAGATATTATTTGGATTTTTTCTGACGTTTAAAATTTTTGAAATATTCAAATTTTAGCAAAATTGTGAAATGTTAAATTTTAATTCTTACAAAAATTTTGTGTAATATATGTATAAAAGTTTGTGTATAAGTATCATTGATAAAATTAATAGCCGCTAGATATCATTAGGATAAATATCGTCGACAATTGCAATACAACATCTTCGCTCGGTGTAATTTTATTCTACGAGATTCTTTAGCACTATATAGAATTATTAGGAATCTGATATGCAATGATGATAAATGATGTTATCATCCAGAAAAATGCTTACTTAACTCATTTAATCGACTGGTCCTCAAAATTAGCATTTTCAAAAGATTTTTGCAAATGAACTCATTTAATTCATTCCAATAGATCTTTTTCCTTTTTTCTTTTTTAATTTCTTATCAACATAAGATATTTTACTTTTACTAATTTAGCAATCTTTCTATTTATCTTAAAATTTCAAATTTTTAAAAGATTAATTTGTTTGCTTTATTTTTTGTTTCCTTATTTACTTTTGTTTTATTTTGCTCAACTTTGGTGCAAATAATATAAGTTGAGAAGATTTGATCACATTTTTTAGTTTCAATTAAAATTCAAAGATGAACTTATCTTTCAATCATCTATCGTTAACCACTTTCAATTGCTTTATTCCAAGATGACAATCAATATTAGCTGGATAATTGAGCCATACGTCTTATAGGTTTTTTTTTTACCTTATTATTTAGGCTAAATGGTCCTTAAATGAACTAGTCCTTCATTTCTATCTTAGTCACTGTTCCACTTTACTAGTCTCATATATTTCAAGCATTATGATTTTATTTTAATAATTCTCTTCATAGTCCTTCTCTTTTCTTTTTCTCTTTCTCTCTCCATATTTAAGACTGAGAAAACTGGAATAGCCTAAAGCCAGCTTTATGAAAGCTTTCATGCTATTTAATGATTGTTCTATTCAAGGAAACAAAGGCTTGTGCACTTCAGTTGGATTTGATTTAGCCAAGTCTAAGTTTAATTCATTGAAAAAAAAAAGAAGAAGGAAATGAAGAAAGATGAAGAATGCTTCTATTTCAAGGTTTTCTCATTTCCTTCTGAATCATTGTAAAACTGAATTTATCCCATTGCCGCCACTTCTTACATTATCGGATTTCTGAAGTTCAATTATATGTTTTTGACATTCTTCTCCTCCTTCTCTTCATTCCATTCATACCATACTTATCTGTGGTGAAATTATTTTATTGAATCTACTAATTTTTTAGATTTGGTTGCTTCTCAAAATGTCTGTCACATTCTATTAAAACGAGACATTCAGATTGTTTGAGTTTAACTTAAAATAATCTTAGGTCAATTTTTCAGTAATATCATGACTGCGAATAATGTTGAATCAAAAATTTCCACTTCATTATAAGCCTCTACAATTACCTTTCGTTTACCGATCAACTTCAGATAATTAATTTTATGAGAAATCGAAAAGAACAAAAATCATTTCTTGGAAAATGCAAAAGTGCAACTTCTAAATATATCACATTTTATGCTTTAAAATTACTCAATGCAAGGTAAAAAAGTTTTATTTCACAATATATTTACATGAAATTAATATTGGTGCAAAAGCAAATGAAATTTTGAAAGCCAAGGTCAAGATTAAAAGTTTTATTTTTGGTCATAGTAAGCAGGGATGAAGCTTGAAATTTCTGAAACACAAAATTACTTAGAATACTTCCCTCCATGAAGTATCACAAGTCTCCGACTTTTCTAAGCATATTTGAAAATTAATTTTAACATCTCTATCTACTTCAGGTTTTTAAAACAAAACACAATGGAAATGTAGCCGCATGTTATCTCTTATCACTTCAGATCAATGAAGTGATAAAATGAGATTATCTGTGATGAAAAAATAAAATTGAATTTTATCATAGCCAAAATTGAATCAAAAAAATTTTAATCCTTTTAAATTCATCTCTCATATGATTTAAAATCATTCATTATAATTGATAAAGATTATAGGGTTTGAATAAATGCGCAAATTTTGTGAGGAATGATTTAGATGATAGATGAAATTTCAATTTTTTATATTTTAATATTTTGCTGCTTACTTTATTACTGAAAATATAAATATTCAAAGACGAGAAAAAAATGTTTCCAAAAAATTGCTTAAGGAATTTGCTTTTGTTAAGAAATGAGCCAAGCTTTCTTTTTTTTTTATGACAATAAATTTTTTTTTCTACTCATTCTTTCAGCTTCTTTATTCGTTATGCTATCTTCCTAAATTGCCATTTCACAGACATTTGAAAGAAATTGTGTACTTTTGAAACTAAATAAAAACCTAAGTCTAGTTTAAATGTCGGATTTTAGTTGTGTCAATAAACTTTTTTGGATTGAAAAGTTCGAGGCGGAAAAAAAAGGCCTACGAGGACATTCGTTGTTATGGCTTTGCTATTTACGCTAATCATAAAAGTGAAGAGATTAAATAGAGAGCTTTTTTTTTTAATTGATGATTTGCATCTTTCACGTCCATATTGAAACTTTCAGATGAACAAATACTTCATTGGATGATTAACATTGGGAGAGGAGAGGAGAGAAAGGGAAAGAGGACATTAAAAAAAAAAATAACTCAGTTTACTTCCGCTCTATTTCTTTCAAAGTCTTTTTTTTAAATGTTTTCAATGGTTTTATGTTAACACAATCATTCTACAACTAAGAAATCATCCTAAAATTTGATAATCATTTTGTTGAAACATCAAGAAACCATTTGTTGAATGTCTATTGAAATTACTTACCTGGATGTTGCATCATTTACCTGGATGT